TTGTCCTCTTTGGGCTTTCCCTTTCGGGCTTCCCCTCAAGGCTTTAAAACGCATCGGCTAGGGGAAGGTTTCCACACCCTTTATAAAGGGTGTTTTGTTCTCCTCCCCAACCAATGTGGGACATCACAATCCACCCTCCTTCGGAACCCAGTGTCCTCACTGGCACTCTTTCCTTTCTCCGATCGATGAGGGACCCCCGCCAAATCCACCCCCTTTGGGGCCCAGCGTCCTTACTGGCACACCGTCTCGTGTCTACCCCCTTTGGTGAACAGACTCCTCGCTGGCACATAGTCCAGTGTCTGACTCTGATATTGTAACGATCCAGGCCCACCGCTAGCAGATATTGTCCTCTTTGGACTTTCCCTTTCAGGCTTCCCCTCAAGGCTTTAAAACGCGTCTGCTAGGGGAAGGTTTCCACACCCTTATAAAGGGTGTTTTGTTATCCTCCCCAACCAATGTGGGCATCACATTTCCACACCCTTATAAAGAATGCTTCGTTCTCCTCCCCAACTGATGCGGGAACTCACAAGACTCCTAGTGGTTTGTTGAAACTCTAGTAAAAGCGTCTAGACCACTACTACATTGCATTCCTTTTTTGTACCAATTAGTAAAACGCTTGGTCGAGGATGGGGCTAATACTTATTTTTCGGAGGATTAGTCGGTGAGGGCTAAACCTCTTTGTGAGTTATTCCCACAAGCTTTATCACACTCCCCCTTCCTTTCTTTGGTATTTCATAGTTGTTTACTAATTGAGATAAAACGACACGAGCATCCAAAAAACTAAGCTAACAAAAGCTACACTGATAAAATGAAGACAAGAAGTAATATGAAGAATTTATTTGCAATTCTCAACAGTATTCATGAATTTTCGTACCTTTTCGGTATTCCCCTGCTCCTTCTTTTCGATCAACATAACAAATCTCATGCACGCCTCGCAGAAGCCTTTGTTCCCTCTAACACATAAAATAACAGCATTTTTTGTGCAGCTCTTGCACAAGGAAAATGTACATGTGTAACACATGTAGTGGGCAGTCTTCTCACAGTTGCTACAAAGATGCCAACCTAAAATCATCCATTATAAAAGAAAACTGGGGCTTAGTAAAATGCTCTACTCTTGAAGCACACTTCATATATAATTAAGAAACCGAGTCGAATCTAGACACCTTTTTCCTTTAGTAAAGTCCGACACTTTCTCTCGTTCTTTAAGAAACACGGTTTCTTGTGTGCAACGTTTTTACATAGGCAATACAGTACAATGAACAAGCATGGTTATTCCAACTTTTTTATATATACAGAGAGAAGATGCTGAAGAAACTGAGTTGCTATATAATTCCTGATTCCAGAACATCATAGTATAAGTCGCTTGGATGTCTTAAAATCTACATCAAAATACTCGGCAGCCATCTGCATGTAGACGATAAATCTGGGTGCAAAGACTTCCTTTTCGTAAACATAAAAAAAAAACGAGAATCCCTTTACCAAACATAGTAGGAAAGAGCAGAGGCCATCCACGCACGCCAAGATGATTAAAAAAACCTCTACAAGTTACACAAAAAAGAAAGAAAAAAAAAACAAAGAACGAAAAAACCCCGAAGAACAGCATGATGATCCTCATGAATAATCGATGATCCTCATTAATAATCGATGATCCTTATAGAAACAAAAACCCTCAATTCCTTTCTACCTAGAACTACCAGATAATGCCTTTCAGTTTCAATTGAATGAGCAGCTAAACATAATATCCAAAAGAAGAAGAAAACATCAGGAACGCGCTGTTAAACGAATGCAACTCTAATAAATCGAGAACATATGGGAAGAATATGTAATATAAGACAGCACATTACCACAGTTCCATCGACCCTTGGCTCGGAAGAATGCCTCGTCGCGATTAATACAAGAAGGGTGGTATGCCTTGGGACAACCTCTGAAACCAAGGAAATAAAAGATCAACGTATAATCGAAACAAAATATCGATTTGGGATGTTCCTGTAAAACTAACCTGCGATCACAGAGTACAAGGTCACCCCCATCAAAACAAATAAAGCAAACGTCCTCTTCCACCTTCTTCCTAGAAGGCGCTCTAGCTGGAGCTTTAGAATTCTTTCCACGCTTCCTTTTCGCACCACTGCTACCTTTATTTGCCTCATCGACCTCCTCCGTAATATCCATCTCCTCAGCCTCCTCTCCTGCTTCTGTCTCCTCCACCAAGTATGTCATGTTTGCATCAGTCTCCTCCGACCCAATCCCTTCATCCACCAAATAAACCATGTCGTCGTCGGCCTCTGCAGTCTCTTCGGCCATAGCTATTTCCTCAACTTGTGCAGTCTTGTTTTCTTCCACGTTCTCCGATTTTACCATTTCCGGGATGTAGTCTGTCACTTGCACTCCCTCGGCCTCTGCAGTCTCGCCTGCCATATTCTCAATCTTTCCAAGCTCAACGCTCTCATCGGCCGAACCCAATCCCTTAACCCCCACTTCCTTATCTTCCACGTTCTCGATCTTCAACGCCTCGATACCATAGTCGGCTATGTCTACTGCCTTGATCTCTGGGGTCTCGTGTGCCGAATTCTCCATCATCGCCACATTGGTAGCCTTGTTTCCCATACATATTCCGTCCATCTCAGCAGCCTTGTCTTCAGCATTTTCTACATTTACCGCCTCATCGATCTTCCCAGCAAAATGTGGCAGCCCCACCTCATCCGTTGTGCTATCCGCTAAATTTGTCGCCGGTCCCTCCTCCACCACAGCCTCATCTACCAAACTATCTTTTAACTCAGAGTTCTCTTCCAGCCGAACCGGGATGCCTAATTCCCTTTCCTCCAAAGAAAAATTTTCTTGCTTTGGAACCTCTGTATCCTTCGAGTCATCGGAGTCATCAGCATTCTCTTCCTCCACTGTCTTATGCACCAAATTGGAAGCATCAGCTCCATCTACAAGCGTTTCCTCAGCCAAAACATCACTCAGGCATGTCTTCACGGTTGTCTCTGCACAGCCAACTGCACCCGAGCCTTCTCCGACCGTGTCCTCTGGAAAATTCGCCATCGAAACGTCGCCCTCGACCTGATTTTCAGCTACACCAACCAAGACCGTTTCATTTAACATCTCGCCATCCACAAATTCAGTCACAGCCTTCTCCTCCTCCTCCTCCTCCCCTGTATTCTCTTTCATATCATCGAAATCCCTTTGCTCCAATAACGCCGTCTCCAACTTCATAGAATCTTCCGCCACATCCTCAATAACGTTACGAAAATCCTTCTCCTCCGCTATCTCTATCTCCTCCGCCACATCCTTCTTCATCTCTAAACAAGTATCCGCCGCAAGACTCTCATCCCCGATAATTGCATCTCCGGCCGGTGAAGATTCAACGCTCGTATTAACTGGAAACTCCGTTTCGACAATGGAGGACTTAAACACACAATGCTGTTCTTCATGTTCTTCATTGCTCTGAAGCTCCCGATGAACGTCACACTTAACATCCAAGATTCCATCTTCGACATACAGAGGAGATTTTTGTTCGTGTTTCGAAGAATCATCTTCTTCGGTTTCCATTCAGAAACAGAATTGGATTAAAAATTAGGAACAATGGCCAGGAATTGAAACCCTAGGGTTTTAAGATCCACTTCCCCCTCTAACAAAATTTACGGTCCAAGAAATAAGAGCGTTTGCAGAACATTTGAGTTTCGCTCCTCTTCGAAGATTTGCCTTGTTTTTTCAATTTGATTTTTTTTTTTTTTCTTTGTGAACAAAGATAATGATCCATTATATAGGCCCGTAATTCGGTATAATTACATAAATAACCCTCTTAATGTCAAAATCACTATTAAAAAAAAATTAGCCCAAGGGTAATCTTTCCCTAAATATTCTTTAGTTTCCAAATATACCCTTCTACTTCTTTTTATTAATTATTATAAGCAATATAAATAAAATGCAATAAGTTCGAGAAGAATATATATTAACCCATACGAAACTTTGTGTTCGATTGTCCTAAACCATAACGCTAAGACAGTCGAGAACAGTCTGAGTTTTATTATTTTGGTAGACTTATCGTGTCACTGATATACGTAATATCGAGTATATCATTTTTGCATTTAATATGATTCGTATACTTTATATTTAGTATATTAAGATGTTGTTGATATACTTCTTATGCTTTAATTAAAATGTGCAACTGATGCAATATTGATCCATGATGATTCGAAAACATAAAGAAAATAACTTTGAATTCTTTAATTTTATCCTATTTGAAGTATAATTTCGGTGGAATTCCATGTCCGGCCCATTCTTGGATGACTTGTCCATGTCAAGTCGACCTATCCGGTGGAGTTAGCTTGTTAGTCGAGGTGGCATGTCGTTACATTGGTTGGAGAGAATAACAAAACACCCATTTATACGGGTGTGGAAACTTCTTTTTTTTTTTTTTTTTTCAAGCGACCNTGGAGTTAGGTCATTGGTCGAGGTGGCTATAAGGGTGTAGAAACTTCGGAAAACCCAAAAAGGACAATATCTGCTAGCGGTTTTTTTTTTTCAAGCGACCTATCTGGTGGAGTTAGGTCATTGGTCGAGGTGGCTATAAGGGTGTAGAAACTTCGGAAAACCCAAAAAGGACAATATCTGCTAGCGGTGGAACTGGGTCTTTATAATTAAGAACTTCGTCGCTTCCTCTCAAGCTTTTAAAATGCTAGGAAAAGGTTTCCACACTCGAGTGGGCCCACTACTAACCGATATTGTTCTCTTTAGACTTTCTCTTTCCAGCTTCCCCGTTTTAACCGCTAGTAGATATTGTTCTCTTTGAGTTTTCCCATTCAAGCATCCCCTAAAGGTTTTACATAATTAACAGTGAGCCTGACCGTTACAATATCTGCAAACCGTGAGCCTCGCCGTTACAAATGAGAACTTTACATTATTATTACTTTACACCATCATATAATTTATAATATATTGTATTACATATTTTTTAAGTTTAATACAAATAAATTGAATTTATGGCATAAAATACTACATTTCTTAAATATTTATCATTTAGAACCATAGAACCAAGATCAATGAAACCGAAAATTCATCGTCTAAACCGCATAGCAATGTTTCGGAATAATAGCACGAGCAAATACTACAATGCATCCGAGTAGAGCAATCTATAAAGTTTAGTTCTCAGATTATCTAAACTCCCAGCAAAATCTGAAGGTCTAACCTCGTCGAGGACGTGTGATTTTATCTCTTTTGATCATCAGTACCTCCGGGGATAACGGTCCATAAACCGACCAGAAGGGCATTCGTATGCCAGGTGACCTCGTCCCCCGCAGTTATGGCAGATCATCAAAGGGCCCATGCAATCCCTACTCATATGGCTAAGCTGCTGGCATTTCCTACACACAACATCCCGGTAACCACCAGCACCACCACGCACACTGCCACCGCCACTGCCTCGGTCGACTCGGTCTCCGAGGACGTTGGACTTCGGACACTGTCTGGCCACATGCCCTGATACATTACACAAGTTGCAAATAGGATCGTTTGGACAATCGCGAGCAAGATGGCCTGTCTTCCTGCAATTGTTGCACGCCTTCTCGTTAGTACAATCAGCTGCTATATGACCTTGCTTATAGCAATTATTGCAAAGCCTCAAGTCGCCAGGGGGGAGCGGAGGAGCCGTGCATTCCCTGGCCCGATGTCCTGCCTTGCCACAGGTGTGGCAGATGCCTTCATTAGGGCAGCTACTTGCCATGTGACCGGGTTCTCGACAGTTCCAACATAGCGACTTTGTCGTGCACTCGGAAGCAATATGCCTAGTAGATCAAGTGATAAGTAAAAGGGGGTCATTGTTCAACCAAATGTATGCCAAATATGCAATTATAACCCGATTCAACCATGTTTAGGAGTGCTATTGAAATGATTAAAATCACTACTCAAAGACATGTTTTAAATCCTTCGAATGTGATTTTCGTGTCAGCAAAATTCATTGCAAATGATTAAAACCATGTTTTGAAGTGATTTTAACCATTTCAAAATCACTCACCGACCTAAATCACATAAAACCTGCTTGATAGCATCTTACAATATATCCTCGAGTCAACTTCAAATCTCAAATTCTAAATTAAGATTAGTGAAACCGAGTAGAATGGAACCAAATTCATAATTTTCATGTCAAGTAGAATGGAATATAGCATGCCAGTAGAATGGTGAATATTTAAGTACATAAAAAAAATAAGTATTCTCCCATTTGTATCCGAATAGGCGACGAAGATAATAAGCGTATGTATCCGAATAGGCGACGAAGATAATAAGCGTATGTATCTGAATAGGCGACAAAGATAATAAGCATAAGATCAAGTTTCCTTACCCAGGGAGACCACAATTGTGACAAATTGCGACATCTTGGCATTCTCTTGCAAAATGGCCAGGCCGCTTGCAGTTCTTGCAAAGATTATCTCGACTGGCAATAAAATCAGATTAAGATTAACAACTTTTCATACTAATACATGGTCGTGTCCGAAAGTCGGAAACATAAACATCAAATACAATTACCATACAATTAGTATAACATGGATATTACATAGATTGTAGGGGTGCAGGAGAAAGCCCATGTCTGCTCAAGCATGGTAAATGCAGAGATTTGTCGAGTTCGACAAGCACAAAATATGCAAACCCAATAATGCAATGGCTACATAATTCCTTTAAAACAGACTCCATGACCATGTGTGTGATAGGTATCTATGCATGTATTGAGAAGAAACGAGATACGAATTGATGAACGAATGAAATGTACACAAAAAAAGACGGGGGAAGGTATGTCCACAGCCAAAGATGGATTTAAAAAACACAACTGCAAATTCTTCCCCATCCTACCTATAAGATATGAGATAAATACATAATTTATCAGAATCAGAAACCTGAAACCCCGATGTGATTCTCTCCTGTATGGTGCATCACGATATGAAAAACGATCAGACCGGATTTTACGATCCAGTGGGCTCCTGCTCCTGCTCCTGCTCCTGCTTCGACTCCTGCTATCTGAACTCATTTCCAAATACTTATTCCCACTGATACGCGAAAATACCACCACCACCACCACCACCAAAATATCACACCGATGCTGCCTCCTCCCTGCCCATATAACAACCACACACCAAATTCATATCCATGAATCCAAACCAAACGCTTTCTCTTCCCTTCAAATAGAAAACGCCAATTTCCAATCCCATTCAACAAAGTAGTAAAATTCCAACAAAGCAAACACCACATCCCCACAACATCCAATTCCTCAACTACATTCTTCATACAATTTCAAGAATGGCTGAAGTTAACATTACCAACACATCACCAAGCTAAGAATTCGTCCAGTAGTGGATCATCCACGAACAACGCCCACTAACATTCACATTCCATATTGCTGCATCGACTTCTTTCACTATTACAACTAGTAAGTCATTTGTGTCAACGATTTTCGAAAATTGCATAGTTTACAACTGGTAATCCCACCACGAGTGATCATTTTGGAAACAGCTCTTTAACTAATTACTAATTTTGCAGAACAGGTTCTACAGTCAATTTGTGCAGCCGTTAAAAATTCTAATAGAAACAAGCAAAGCCAACACACGAACTACTAAGCAACGCTAACGCAAATAATAAGTACAACTGCCACAAATCACGAGATCTTTGCAGACGTGATCAGTTGGCACATAAAGAGAAATTTCATATTCGTTGAGAGAAATTATACCAAAAACATTCACTACTCAACAACAACAACTGAAAACAAACACAATTCACGGACCTCTAGATTATCTCAACATGTAATCTACAGCGCTGTAACTCAAAAACCACTTCCATCATGTAATCCCGAAGAGAAAGAAGCAAGCAGAAGCAAGCAGAAGCAACACGATGCATCGGAAAATCATAAAAACGAGAGTGCATAAAGAAAACCAAACTTTTCATGGCAATTATGGAGAATATGCGTCTACATACACTACAGAAAATTAACGAATAATGAACCCTAAGCCTCTAGACATAGAGACCATACGACAAGAATGTAAATCAGAAATGAAAGAGAAACGAACCTAATATCAATGGCTACGTGCTTGTGGCTGATACTGCCGTAGCTCAAATGGCTGAAGACGCAAAAATTACGAACAAAGCCGCAGCGGGGACGAGACTCGCAGTAGTAAAACAGCTGGTCGAGAGCGAAGATTTGCAAGTGTCGACTGATATCGGATCGAACAAAGTGGAAGGTAATATTATTGGGCCTCGATTTGCCAACTGGTTAAGCCCAATATGTTTTGGGCCTTGATTCTTGGGCCTAATATATTTCTTGAAAAGAATAATATTTTCCGGATTTTCATTTTAATTATAAAATATAATAATGTGCGTAAAATAATTCTAAAATAGTTATTATTAGTGAATTAATGAAAATTTGTACGTAGTGATTAAAATTAATTAATTAATTAATTATAAGAGTAGTTGCAGCTTATTATTTGACTCGTTCTAGTCTTATTGTATTATAAGAGAGAAAAGAATGCATTCATCCCCTATCGTGTTTTGCCCTCATCTTTACAGTTTCTCGATAAGTAATAGAGTAAAGTAGATAACATTTGCTAGTTGTGAGATTGAGCGGTTAAATTTAATTACACTGCTTCACTCAAATAATGGTTTGGGATAATTAACAATTTTTTTTTATTATAATAAGTTCCATAAATTTTAAAAATTTATTAATTTTTCAGAAATTTATTAATGTTCTTTAATTAAATTATTCACTGAAAATGACCCTCGATATTTTTTATGAAACTTTTTAGTATATTTAAATATTTTTATTTGGTTCAGGTCAAATTAAAGATTTTGTCCCACGAACTTGAAACCGAATCGAGTCGTTTAAAAAAACGAACTCAAACGAACTCGAAAAGCTGATCCAACCCAACTCAACTTTTATAGTTCGAATTGAGTTGGTCCGAATTGTCTAATTGTCGGGTTGAATGTACACCCCTAATTGTAAAAGGATAATAATAATGCAATGATAAAACCTACGCTTTTGCAATTTTCATAATATATATATATATTAATAAAAAAAGTAAAACATAATTTTCGACAAATTTACATTTATATAATTTAATTGATCCTAAAACCATGGCTAACATATGGTTTTTTTCGAATTATAGAATTAATGTTAAAAATGTGAATATAAAAATAAAATAAATTATATAAATGGAATATAATTTGTATAGTTTGGTCCAATTAAAATGTTTTGTAACCTTTCTCTCAACTTGCCGTGGCAGCTAAGCAAAGAAATATTCTAACAATTATAAATTTTTTTTTTTTTTTTTTTTTTTGCGTTTTCCAAAATGTTCGTCCTTTTCTAGCCAACTTCATACCGGTGAATACCGTTGTCGACACTCACTACCACCCACCGTTACCAAAAAGTTCGTAGGACAACGTCAAGCATAAAATTAGTCAAAGTAAAACATGCTTAGCTATAGAGCTCGTATAATTAGGTCACCGAAAAGAAATGTGTACATTGTTGATATAGAAAGTAACTTATATTTTCTGCATTTTTTAGTCATTTTATTTATAAGATCATTCTCATTCAGATATAATATAAGTGAATATAAAAATAGTTGAAAAGATTAAAAAAATAATAATAATAATAATGATGATGATGTCGTCTTTTTGACTTTCATTTATAAACTCTTTGTAAAGGTTTGATCATTTCCAAGTCCAATTCTAATGCTCCCCTTTCAAGTGCCTTCTATCACGCCACTAATTCATGCTCCTCATTGTAATTTTATTTATTTTTTTATTTCGTAAATTATTGGATAATAAAATTTAGTACATATAAATTAAAACTAATTTAAATGATTAGGTAACGATTATATATATATATATATATAAAAAGTCGACTTCTGAACAAGAAAGGAGGAAAGAGACTATAGCAAATTGTCTCGAGTAGTGAATAAGGATAAGCTTAGCTGCCCGACAATATAAAATACTAACTACACAGAGGGATAGGTCTTGGAGTGACGAGCGTAAACGATTGGAATCAATGTGTTTAAATTGACCATGGACCAAACAACCCTTATGCTCTAAACGTCATACATTTCAAACTCTAAAAGCGGGCAGAAAAGGGAGGAGGAAAGAGGCTCGGGAAAACCCTCATAACCAGTGAATATGGTTAAGCTTAGCTGCCCAATACTATGGAATACTAATCACACCGAGAGATAGACCCTGAAGTGAAGGATTGCCCAACACTACGAAATACTAACCACACCGAGGGATAGGCCCTGAAGTGAAGGACTGCCCAACACTATGAAATACTCGTTGGATGATGGAAGTTTCACATCGGCTAATTTAGGGAATGATCATGGGTTTATAAGTGAGGACCTCCATTGGTATGAGGTCTTTTGGGGAAACCCAAAGCAAAACCATGAGAGGTTATGTTCAAAATGGATAATATCATACCATTGTGGAGAGTTGTATTCGTCTAACATGGTATCAGAGTCATGCCCTAAACTTAATCGTGCCAATAGATTGGTAAATTCTCAAATCCTCAAATATCGAACAAAGAACTCTTAAAGAAAAGGAGCCAAGCAGTCAAAAATGACTAAGACTCCAAAGGAGTCAAGCCTCGATTAACAATACTAACCACACCGAGGGATAGACCCTGAAATGAAGGGCGTAAACGAGTAGAATCATTGTGTTCAAATTGACCATAGACAAAACAACCCTTATACCCTAAACGAGACCCGAACATTTAAAAACTTATTAGAAATTTGAAATTTAAAACTAAGCTTATTATTTAAAATTTTTAAAAATTGAAAAAAAAAAAAAAAAAAAACTAGGGTTTGTTGAGATTGAGCGCAATTTCCGTACTCAACCAACCGCATGAAAACAATAACAAAGGTTTGGGGGTTCACAACCTGCACGTCCGGACACGCTCCAAATGATGCGTATTGGACAACCACTCCACGCATCCATCAATTTTCTATCTAATAATAATAAAATATATATATATATATATATATATTTAATGATAATTCATACTATTTATAAAACTATATAATTAATTCACGAGCATCACGACATTTTATGTGTACTCGAATTATCTTAAGCCATATGAGCTAAAGGAATGCTGTAATTGGGGTAGGTGAACCCTCATCATCCGTGTCACGAATTGAATGACAGGCACAATTCTGACTAGTTTGGATTCGAGCGAGAGCACGAACAGGAGAGGCAAGAACATCTTGATGGTTCCATGGACAGTGCAAGACATTGGTCGGAGTAGGACCTAGCCCCTCTTCTAGTAGATACGTTTTAAAATAATGAGACTGATGACGATACATAACGGACAAAAACAGACAATATCTACTAATTGTGAACTTTGGATATTACCTTTAGAGACTAAATTTATAATTTTACAAGTTACTGAGGAACAACAATAAATTAGGTTTTAGAGAATTTAATTCCCGTTCTCAACCCATGACCAATACGAGCTCGAGGTTTCCTTCATAACTCCCGAAACTTCTTCGTAGTGGCTCCATTCCATGCCTCATTTCATAGAGAACCTATGTGTTTAATATTAATAAAATATTAAAAATAGTCTATACTTATGGTTTAATGTGTATTTTATTGTATGAAAGTTATTTTATTATACAAATTTTAACGGAGTAAATTTAAAATTTACTGAAAAGGTAAAAGTTAATTTAGACGGTAAAAAATGAAAAAAGACAGATTTTTAACGAAAGTAAAGTGGGAGCTGCTGTCAGTATTTATTATTCGTTTGTCAGCTTTGGGAGGCTTCTCTTTCTTTGCCGCTCCAACAATTGGTTCCCCACAGATCTAACGGTCACAGGCAGGGACATAGGGAACACCGCTGCCACGTGGCGCCATATGTGCCCACCTCTCCTTTTTAATTTTTTCTATCCAGCTTTTTATTTTTATTTTTATTTTTATTTTCATCACGTGATACTACCAGCTTTTAAATTACAAACAGAATAAATAAATAAATAAAGTTAAATTACAAATTTGGTCAATTAATTTTAAAGTTTTGCTATATTTGTTTTGTAGACTTTTAATTATTTAATATTTTACTTTTATGTCTGAAAAATTATTAGGATTTTTCTTTTGTTTTATTTAGTTATTTATAAGATTCAATTGTATGTGTAATACTTATTAAATACATAAATTAAAATTTATGATTAATATATTAAATAGTTTTTTAAATTTAAATATATTTTTATTGAAAATAGAAACTCTATTATTAAATTAATTCTATAAAAAAAATAATAAAGAAAGAGAAGGACGAAAGATAGAGAGGGTATTTTAGTCATTTCGCTCCACTCTAGTTTTCTTCTTGGAGGTGCGGTTGGAAGAGAAATCTCAACTTTGTTGACGCTCCATCATCGGATTCTCATTTGGTTCCACCGGCCACTGATTCATCTCAAATTTATCTTCTCCGTGAGACTGACACTGATAGCGACGGCTCGACCGTGATTTCCCGGAATCTGCGGCCTCTCTGGTCACCCGCATTCTCCTTCTTCTTCACGATTTATGGCCGCTGGCCGGTGCTGAGTCGCCGTTGTTGTGTTACTGTTTCATCTAGGTCCATTCCTCGGCTTTCATTTCCACATTTCTACGTTCGGTACGTTTGCTTTCACCTGATCGTTTTTTTTTTTTTGTTAAACATTTTCTTTCTCTCTTTGATTGTCACTTTGATGCTTTCTTCCACTCGTAAAGCTTCCTCGTCTTCTTCTATTTACTCTGAAGCTACGCCTTGAGTCCTTCTCGGATTTGGATTTAAGTTCATGCTATCATGTTTGCGTAGCTGATTTTATCATCTCGGTGATCTGTCCTCTCGGACGTATCTAACCGAGTATTGTTTCATTTTCGATGCTTTAATTGTTCAGCAGCTCCTTGTAATTTGTTACATGTGGAAAATGCTGCATTAGAAGTTTTCTTTGAGTCGAAGTAAATCAATGAGTTCAATTGCGACATAGAAGTTTAACAATCTTTGCTTAACTGAGATTTTGATTAAGATAAGCTAACCGTTAGAATTGAATATTTCTGCCATTGCGTAAAACGTCAATCCGCACCATATTCCGCGTGCATTTCGGTATGCACATTGTGATTATTATATATTTCGGGGGAGTTTTCAGTTTTGGAACGTGGTCGTTTTCTTATAGCGCACGAGGCTTTAAGACGACGA